CATTCTTGGTACCCACTAATAATACATTGGACATTGAGTTTGTCTTGGTGCCCACTATATTGGAAATTAGATTTATTCTTGGTACCCACTAATATATTAGACGTTGGCCTGCTTATTATTTATTTTTTCTTTGATCTTAACTGTTTTCATTGGCTGCTAGTCAAATAAAACATCAAGATTACTTTAAAAATATAAATGAAGCAAAGCCAAAAAAAATAAGAAAAACCAATAAAAATAAAAAAAAAACAAAATAAAAAAAAAAACAATAAAAATACCAGTAAAAAATTTTAAATATAACAAAAAAATATATATATATTGTGCCTCAGATGCATCCTTGCGTCAAATGCAATCTGACGCATGTCAGATGCCAATTTTTAGATGATGCACGTTACCTGTCAATCAGTCACCTGACGTGTGTCAGTTGTAATCTGACGCAAGATCTTAAAAATCTTGTAAAAAAAAAATTTTTTCAAAAAATATAATAACATTATTACGAAAGATGTAGTAATAACATCATTATGAATAAGAGCATAAAAAGCCTTTTGCTCTTATCTTAATTTTTTTTTTAACTGGTTTGTTTTATCTTTAACGGCTGGCATACTTTCTTTTTATTTCTTGTTGGTTTGTTCTTGGTTTACATTGCTTTAATTCTTGTTGCCCACTAATATATTAAATGTTAGATTTGTTTGGTGCCTACTAATGATATGTTAGACATTAGATTCTTGGTGCCCACTAATATATTGGATGTTGGATTCATTCTTGGTACCCACTAATAATACATTGGACATTGAGTTTGTCTTGGTGCCCACTATATTGGACATTGGATTTATTCTTGGTGCTCACTGATAATACATTGAACATTGGGTTTGTTCTTGGTGCCTACTAATATATTGGACGTTGGATTCATTCTTGGCGTCTATTAATATATTGGACATTGGGTTTGTTCTTGGTGCTCACTATATTGGATGTTGGATTTATTCTTGGTGCCCGCTGATAATATATTGGACGTTAAATTTATTCTTGGTGCTCACTAATATATTAAACGTTAAATTCATTCTTGGTACCTATTAATATATTGGACATTAGATTCATTCTTGGTACCTATTAATAATATATTAGACATTAGATTCTTGGTGGCTATTAATATATTAGATGTTGGATTTATTCTTGGTGCCTATTAATATATTAAACGTTAGATTTATTCTTAGTATCTACTAATAATACATTGGACGTTGGATTTGTCTTGGTGCTTACTATATTGGATGTTAGATTTATTCTCGGTGCTTACTGATAATATATTAGATGTTGGGTTTGTTCTTGATATCCACTAATATATTGAACGTTGGATTCATTCTTGGTGCCTATTAATATATTGGATGTTGGGTTTGTTTTTGGTGCCCACTATATTGGATGTTGGATTTATTCTTGGTATTCACTGATAATATATTGGATATTAGATTCATTCTTGGTACCCACTAACATATTGGACATTGAATTCATTCTTGGTGTCTACTAACATATTGGACATTAAATTTATTCTTAATACCCATTAATAATATATTAGATATTGAATTCTTGGTGCCCACTAATATATTGAATGTTGGATTCATTCTTGGTGCCCATTAATATATTGAATGTTGGATTCATTTTTGGTGCCTACTAATAATACATTAGATATTGGATTTGTCTTGGTTCCCACTATATTGGATATTGGATTCATTCTTAATGCCTACTGATAATACATTAGATGTTAGATTCATTCTTGGTGTTCACTAATATATTGGACGTTGGATTCATTCTTGGTGTCTATTAATATATTGGACATTGGATTCATTCTTAGTGCTCATTAATAATACATTAGATGTTGAATTTAAATTGGGTAGATTTTCTTTTTATTTTTTATTTATTTATTTTTTTTTGTTATTTGCTAACTTTAT